AGTGCCTCCAGGAGATGTGGGTGCTATTCTTCCAATGGCCGTGGAAATAAGGGTCTGGGAACTGGACAAAGCTAAAACAAGCCCCTGTTGGACTCATGGCAGTTTTGGTAATAAATACCATGTTCAGTATAGGACTGTGTCATCAGCAGCGTGACCAACCTCTATTCTCAATTTCTGACACTGCGCCGGCTTGGTTCAGAACGTACCAGCCCAATGAGCATCAGCTCAAATTATCCTTCTTTTGTGAAGGGATGTTTTAAACACTACTAAGGTGGCTCAAAGACTATGGTAGACACACACGCACACAAAAAAACATAAACAGTAATAAATTTCAAGAACATTCTGTAGATGAATTTTTGCTTCTGGGAATGGGAAACCAAAGCTTTCCCAAGAGACTTCATTATGAAAGCCATAAATAAAACATCCCTGATTCAGCTGCTTGGTTGCTGTGCTTGTGTGGCCGCGCTTTGGAGAAGTGGCTCAGAATCGGAGGCAGGCAGTCCAGGGAGGCTAGGGAGGTGAGCTCATCTGAGAACATCCTGCTTCTTCTCCCACAAGTTGCTAGCACATCAGTCCAGGGTGTAAGGATAATGAGCAAATTTTGCTTTATTGAAGACGACCCAAGGATGGTTGCTACAAACATTTCAAACAGGATCCTAAAATGCAAGGATGTTTTTCTAGCTGACACCCTTTTTTTTTTTTTTTTTTGTCTTTCCCATAGAAGTACACACTCTTCTCTCAAAATAAAAGCAATAAAATAAAAGCAGCATGGTGCAGGGACCACTCACCTGATTGCCTAAGTGCCCTGGGTTTCAGTTCCAGTTCTGGATACTTACCAGGCCCGTGACCAAGTGCTGGTTTCTTAACCTCCCTGGGTGTCAGCCTCCTTTGTGGAGGGATGACTATTGGATCCTAAATATCCTATGTGCTAGTAGTGCCCATAACAGTGAGTTCCAATCACTCAGCAAATAAGAAAGGACAAGTGACACATGTTAAGCCCTATTTGGTCTGGGCAATGTGCTGGGCCCTTTATAGCTGTTATTTGATCCTCACAGTAACTTATGCATCGTTGCTGGTACCCCCAATTTACAAATGATGGAAACTAGTCCTGAGAATTGCAGTGACTTCCTCAGAGTGATCAATGGATAAGCATGCAGTCAGGCTTCAAATCCCCATCTGTCCAACCTCAAAGTAACCTTCTTTCTATCTGACCTTGCTAATACCTGAGCTTGGGATAAATCATTAACATGATTTTAATTCAAAGTAAATATAACTCGCTAGTTCTGTCATAGTTTTCAAATAATTTGCTCATGCCTTGAAAAATTCAGCTTCTCTAGCCATTCTGTCTCTCATAAAAAAATGATCCTACATCACTTGGGAATTAGAAGAATCTTCCTGCAACATGAACTTTTAATCCTTGGCTTGTTCAAGCTGGCCTGGAGCATCACCCCCAATGGCCCCATAGAAATGCCATGTGTTAGGATACTTTACTCACTTCTGCGTGGGTAAGTTTTTGGGTTTCTATCTTTTAAATCAGTCTGAACAACTGAAAGTAACATTTTTTTTCCCCTCAAAAGAAATGAAAAATAATAGTGCTGCAATCAACAGCCATGAAATCCTGTAAAATAAAGGTATAATACAACAACTCTTCCTCGGTTCTAAGCTCTTGGCTTCCCGTGGAAAAGCCAGGGTTTCCATTTCATGAAAAAAGAATAAAATATGAGAGAGCAAAATAGCCATGACATTTTGGGTGTGTGCTTAGTCAGATCTGCCAGAAAGTTTCCTATTTGGTAGTTATTCGTTTTTCCTGAACAGCAGGCTGGGGACACAGATATGGTGTGGGCTTCAGAATCAGAGTTAAAAAAAAATCCCAGCTCTTCCATGGACATGTTATTTATGCTCTCTGAACCTCAGTTTCTTCCTCTGTAAAATGGGGATGCTTCCTGGGATTGTTTTGAAATTCAACAAAAAATATACATAAAGAGCAAAATACAATAGTCTTCTTTACCCCACTCCAAATGCAAAACAGACTTGAGCAATTCATAATGATAACAATCATTTTATTATCTTTGACTCTTTACTGGGCACTGGGCTAGCCCTTTCCATAGATTACCTTTTTATTAAGGGAAACCAGTATTTGAAACCACGTGTTCTAATTCCAGGGCTTGCCCTGTGCCCTGCTCTGGTCCACTGTTATTGGGTTCAGATTAAAGGATTTATGAGCAATTGCTTCTGCAGGAGACAGCTGCCTGAGGGTCGTGGCCCATGTGGCTAGATATTCGGCCAACAGTAGGGAAAGCCATGCATAATCCTTTGTTCTCACTCAGCATTAGTACCCCTGCTTTTCTGCTCCCTGGGGTTAGTTTCCTGACTAGACTAGGCACATAATAGATGCCCCCAAAGTACTTGCTGAATAAATAAATGCAAATTAGTAAACTGATTGCTCATGGTGTAACCATTTACTTTATGTAATATTTAATGCTAACCTCTTCTCCATTCTTCTCTTAGGGAAACTAACATGTTAAAGAGACTTTTTTCTTAACCTGTTAAGTCTCCACATTAATTCAGTGTTCACCAAGCACTTATTAAGTACCTACTATTAATCAAGGGGCCAAGGATTACATATGTAATCCATTACCGAGTATTAAAAAACAACAAAGCCCTGCTTATATTCAGCTGTGGAATACACAATACTTTGTAGGTAGCATTGACCTTTGTGGCTTTGTTTAATTTTCTAATTTGCATTCCCTGAACCCTATTTATTAGGCAGTCATGGTGGGCAGACTGGGAAAGTGTCTTTTTTTTTTTCTGGAGTGTAATTGCTTTACATACAATGTTGTGTTAGTTTCTGCTGTACAACGAAGTGAATCAGCTATATGTATACATATAACCCCTCTCTCTTGAGACTCCCTCCCACTCCTCCTATCCCACCCCTCTGGTCATCAGAGAGCACAGAGCTGAGCTCCCTGTGCTATACAGCAGCTTCCCACCAGCTATCTATTTCACACAAAGTAGCGTATATATGTCAATGCTACTCTCTCAATTCATCCCCCCACTACTTCCCCGCTCCCAGGTCCACAAGTCTGTTCTCTACGTCTGTCTCTTTTCCCGCCCTGCAAATAGGTTCATCAGTACTGGGAAAGTGCCTTGTGAAGCCACACTAGAATTAAGGCTAGAGAGGAATTCCCTGGCGGTCCAGTGGTTATGACTCCACGCTTCCACTGTAGGGGGCATGGGTTCAATCCCTAGTCTGCATGCAATCCTGCATGCCACATGGTGCGGCCCAAAAAAAAAAAAAAAAGAAAGAAGAGGCTGGAGAAGAGAGAGGCTGAAATTTGGAACATGGTGTAGGGAAAGAACAAAGAACATAGGGCTGTGAAGTCCCACGGACTACGATTCCTGATCCTGTCACTAGCAAACCTCAATTCTGTCATCTACAAAATGAGGATGATCAGCATTTGTCACTGTTTTCCCACAGGGTGGGAAGGACTCCTAGAATGATACGAGGAAGTCAGTACCTCATTGTGAAGATCCTACGTGAGGTCACGGAAGCAAAGCACCCAACACAGGGTCTCACGCAAACCAAGCACTCCATGAGCATCTTTGCTCTCCCCTCCCTTTCTTCCAGCGTGATCTCCTGGACAGCCACTGTGGGCTATGAGAGCTTGGAAAGGTGAGAGGATCCAAGGGCTGCTGGTTTGAGACTGGTTGTCTCCTGCACATGTTATCTTTTCTCTCCTCCCTGCCTGCCAAAGGCAAACAAGAATGAAATGATAACAGGCATAGGCATTGAAGCAAAACAGGTCACAGGAATAAGATAATGCACTCAAGGACAAATAAAAGTTAACTGTAGCTGGGCCCAGAATAGGTAAGTAAAAAGTCTAGGGAAGTAGAGAAGGTATTTCCTATTTTATAGGGAATAGGCTTTTCAAGTATTATCACCAATGTGAAAACTCACAAACACATACACTTGTGTGGCTTTAATATCCTCTTTGCTACTTTGGTTGCCTGCACAAGGTGGGAACGCTGTAAGTTATGGATGCAAGCTTTTGAAAAAGCGCTTTAAAATATAGTATAGGGCTTCCCTGGTGGCGCAGTGGTTGAGAATCTGCCTGCCAATGCAGGGGACACAGGTTCGGGCCCTGGTCTGGGAGGATCCCACATGCCGCGGAGCAACTGGGCCCGTGAGCCACAACTTCTGAGCCTGCGCGTCTGGAGCTTGTGCTCCGCTACAAGAGAGGCCGCGACCCCGCTCGCCGCAACTAGAGAAAGCCCACGCACGGAAACGAAGACCCAACACAGCCAAAAATAAATGAATAAATAAATAAATAAAAATTTAAAAAATATATATAAATTGATGATGTCTAGGCAAATATGTTTAGGCTTGTTAAAACTGTACTTATAATGACTGGCTATGCAAGGTTGTGTGTACATATGGACGAGACTAGAGGAAAGGTACTTGGGGAAAAAAACAGCTGCTTTATTAGGGTGGTTGAATTGCCTTACTCAGTGGCTAGAACCTAATAGATGTTTAATATTTGTCCAGTCAGTGAGAAGACTTGATTTTCCATATATTATAACTGTGAATATGTATCTCCCTTTGTTAGCCAACCATTCAGAGATAATGTTGCCTGTTTTTGACATTATTTTGTTGTTTTACTTTTTTTCCCCTTCACCTAATGTATTTCTATCTCTAAAGAAAATTGATATTAACAGAAAAGCTTGCAGAGTCTAAGAATATGGGGCTTAGTAGACAGAAATGATACATTTCTGCATTTCTGATCTCCAAAGCCAGGAGAAATGTTTGTAGATAAACAGAAGACCTGATTTGTATTCATCAATCAGCCAAGTGTCCTTAGGGAAAATAACCCCTCAGGGCCTCAGTTGACAGATCTGTGAATAGGGTTAGACAGATGACCACCTACAGGTCTGTCAGTTACTTTAAACGTTAAATGTCAAGATAAAACATGCTGGGTCAATTAAGACAGATGAGCCCTCCAAAGAATTAATATTTGAAAACTTTATTTTCTCAAATGAGCACCAACACAGATTGGAAATATGACAGAAACAATGCACTTTTCTCTAATATTGAATCACTATGTACAAATACAGGAAAAGGTGAAGACAAATTACTTGAAAATAATTATCTTTGTTATTGAAGCAAAGTGACCTGAAAATGCCACTGAAAAAAAAATTTTTTTAATTAAAAAAAAAAAAAAGAAAAACAAAACCCAAACCCAACAAATGCAGTTTGTAAACACAAGCATAAATAGAGTCTGTATTGAAAGATAGTCTCTGCAGGTTGGAAAAGGGAACTGACTCTCACTTTCACCAAAATGTTATACAAAAACACACGGACAGACAGAATTTGGTAATATGAGAACAGCTTGTTTCTTCTTGGCTTTACCTTTCACTGCTGGCCAATTTCACGACTGTATTTTATTTTTAAATATTAAATATCTCTTTCCTTGAACTAGACCACTAGCATGTTTTCTCATGTGAGCAGACTCTTTTTTTAAAATATGTAAGATGATTGTGTTCAAGATTTGATTTCCCGGCCTCTTACTGAACCTGAGGCAATCTGACCTTAAAAAAAAAAAAAAAAAAAAAAAAAAGGTGTTTACCTCCAGGGTATGTGTATTATTTTATTGACGTTCTTTCTACCCAAACCAGTTTAATGTTTAACACGATGTGGCTTCCACAACAGCTGGAGCCCTGGGTTCATGATGAATACACTCACATCTCAGTGAGAAACACAGCTTTGACTCTGCTTGATCTTCACAACAACAGATTTCCTTTACAGTCTGTAAAAGTTGAGCACACAAAGAAAGACAAAGGAGCAAACAGGCAACAGCTCCATGCTCAGGAAAACAAAATCCTCGAGGGCTGTGCTGTTGGTCTGCTCAGAAACAAAACCACCAGAGAAAAAGAGAAGAAAAATCTTATGTGCCCAAGGTGTAAACTGTAGGTACAGTGTCCCCAATAAAAACGAAAACAGGAGGCACAATCCAAAGTGCTTTACACACACACACACAAGAACAAGACTCCGAGACTCCAAACTGTTGGAAATTCTTCCAACAAGAGGAATCACTCTAATTTGTTACTAAATTTATTTGATTTTATCTATTTTCTTTTCTAGCCAATAGTGGTGCAAGAAAATATTTCAATTCTCGACTTGGTAATGTACTGCAGAGTCTGTTCCATTGGGAAGAAATGCAGAGAGGCATTGCTTTATTGCCTCCGTCCAGACTAAAGTGATGGAGATCTTTTTTTTTCTTTTTTCTTTTTTAAGAGTATATTGGTGATCACTGTTTCCCTTAAGATATACTTCAAGAAATGCAGAGGAAACCGCAGCATTTAAAAATGAAAATAAAAAGTGCTCTCAGGGGATCTGAGAAAACAGCACCAAATATATTATTTAAAAAATTAAATATTATTTACAAAAGTATATTTCACAAGCAACTGTTTCTTATATATCCACTTGAAAATCTTTTTGTCAAGGGGACACCTCTCTTTTACACACTGATCCACCAGTAAAGATTTACCCTGCTGTCTGGGGAATCGGGGGAGCACTCAGGCAGGCCCAGCTGACGATCGGTGGACATCGGCAGCCCGAGACTAACATCCCGCCCGGCAAGCTGGGTGTAATCCAGGACCGCCGAGGCCATATGACCTAGGGAGGTACAGGGGAGATGGAACTAGAGTCTGCCGGTTGGACTTCGGTTGAAAATGAAGGCAGCTGCTGGCTGAGGTATAAAACTTCTTCTGAACCTCAGTATAAATAAAAGGTTTTATACCTTTTCCTTTCTCACTTCTTCTCCCCTTCCCTACTCCCTGCACCCCACCCTAGCTTTATCATTGAACTCCAATTCCCCTAACCTCCCAGGGGTGAATGGATGAGGTCTTTGGTTATGCTCTGAGTCAATAATTTGGTGAGGAAATTAAGAAATGAACTGACTGAGGCCTTGAGTTGATGCATCTCCATCGCTCAGCTGCGGTCTCTCCAATACTATAGACGGTAGATAGACAAGCCATGAATGAAGCTAAAGTTATAAGAAGTACTTTTGGTTGACACCAAGGGAAAGCCTAATGAGTTGGATTTTCTTCCCCTGTTGCAACATTCTGCTCAGATCTCTGGCACCAAGTACAGTGCCATGCGCCCATTGGATGCTCAATGGATAGTAATTGAAAAAAATACCAGAACCGGGGTCTAACTGGAGCCTGCTCTGATCTGTGTAAGAGTCAGAGGCCCCATCCCCACAGACACAGTGGCACATCAGTCTCCTCTGCCCCTTGAAAATTCTAGGGGACCTCATGTCCAGTTTCTATGTCACCACGCTCCGTTTTTACACACCTACCCATGTCCTCCCCAACCCCCCATACCGTCTTCTTTTTATGGAAAGGATTATCAATAGCCAGGACGTTTCCTGAGTCAAGGGGCTAATAAAAATACAGAAATGATTTTGTTATCCCTTCAGCAGGGATGGGGAGGGGAATCTATGATTTCTATGCTGGCAAGCCAGCTTAGGAATGTGAAAGTTGAAATTTTTTTTTTTTTTTTTTTTTTTTTAATTGAGATCTGGGGCCTGGGAGCCAGAGGAACTATTTCTCTGGGATCGGAAATGAAAAGACTTCTTCTGAACCTCAGTCTGCTTTTTAGTAACGTGGAGAGAACAACTTAACCTCCCAGGCTACTAAAAGCACCAAAAGATGTGGGCAAGAAGCCTTCGGGAACAAAATTCGATTTTTAAGAATCTTCTTTGTCTTACAGAAGCTGTCTGCTGCTAAACGTGTGGCTGGGCAGGACCACACCCATCTCAGCCCCTCGTTCCACAATCAGCACACAGAGACTCAAAAAGGCATTTCCACAACAGACTCGCCCCCTCTGGGAATTTGGCTCAATTCTGAAAATGTCCTGGGTTGGCCGCTTTAATCTTGGTTAAGAATTTTACAGGTTCTCATCTCCATGAACTCGCTCTTTTGTGACTTTTAAGGTGAATTTTCCTATGGGATCAGCCTACTTGGGGAATGAGATGCTGAGAATTACCTAACATAACCTACACATATCTTAGCGATAATAGTATTTTCAGTCTAAGCAATGAAATTAACTCAGTTAAATGAGTTTCGGTCATGCACCGTGTACTGGCTAAATTGCTGTAGAACAGACTTCACAGTGTTGATTAAACGTAACAAACTCCTCTCTCTCTCAAGAGCCTTACAGGGATTTGTTCTCCACTTCCCTAATATAATGAACTTTGGATGGGGAGGCGGGGAGTGGGGTGTAATACTGGAATTTATAACTTGCCGTTTGACATCAAATCTGAGGCCTTCCCATCGCTGGATCACATTGACAGATTTGTCTCCACACAACACATGCAAGTAAAAGAGAACAGCTAGGGGCATGAGGAATCTACCGGCCAGGTTATCACTAAGCTCGAAGCCTTGGGACTTTGTTTTCCAGGATCTACAATGATAGAACTGGAGAAAAACACCCAAAACTCTACGTACAAAGAATTGCTGATCTCAGTGAAGCCACTGCATACCAAAGAAGAAAGATGCACTTAACCTGTTATGGTTCAAACCTAAACTATTCCCGGCACTGCCCCGCCCCACCCTCCCTTCCTTGCCACAATGCTCTTCTCTTACTAAGGTTCAGAAAAAAAGGTCAGTCAGAACTGCTAACTGGTTCTACTTTTTATTTTCTCTGGCCCAATATCAGAGCCATTTCTGCAGGAGCACCTAAACTGCATCCCCCTTTGTTCCCTGTTATCCTCAATCACTGATTTTACTTGGTTGCTGGTCAAAGCCTTTGGGACGTTTGGATCTTGCACCCATTGCAAATGGCAGTCCCCTCTCCTGTCACCTACAGTGGCTGAAGAGGCAAAGATGATTACCCAGAGGAGCAGTGAGGCATCAGAGTCATCAAAACCATGTGGGCTTTTCCCGAGTCCCTCATTGCTGCCAGGACACCCCCCAGCTCGGCCCAGGGGAACCAGGCCGGTCCCTGCCCCGCCAGCTAGAACTAGGGCCACTTCTTGTGCTCATTTGCTAACCTGGCACATTTGGTGTCAGGAACAGAAGATTCTGATCAGAGAGAATGCAGTCATGAGGTATTTTTTTTTCTCTTTGTCCTTTTAGACAAGTCGATTATTTCAAGCCTAAGTTCCCAGGTCTCCAGGAGCAGCACAAGTTTGTTCCTACCTCTACCCTCCCATCCCCTACCCACCCGGGACCCTCCTGGTTCCCCTCTTCCTCACACCCCTGTGCTGTGCCACTGTTCTCCTGACAAGAGGCCATCAGGCAGCTCTTCAAGGGCCCTGGGCCCTTTATCAAAGTGGGCTGCCGCCATGCGGACAGGCATCTGTTCCTTTTGTTGTTTTGCTTTCAGCCAACACTAGAACAGAGAGAGAAGCCAGGATCAACTCACAAACAGATACAAAGCAAAGAGACAGAGAGACAGCAATTTAGAGGCTGGTCACCAGAAAGATGGTGGCAGGGTGGGAGAATGCCCCAGATGGCAAGGCCCCTAAATGGATGGAACCAAGTGTTCAGTCACTCTCTCACGCTTGGGTAGAATGTTCGGTTGGATGGCATTCACGTGGACACTGGGTTGGGTAGATGCTCTCCAATCAGTCCCAGCCATTGTCTTTGATCATGTGTGCTAGCTCAATGATGTATTTGCCTTCTTTATATTTCTGGCTGCTTTCAAAGGCATGTTCCTAGGAAACACAAAGGAAAAGAAAAGACACTGAGTGACCAAAGACAAGCAGATGACTTTTGGGAGCATAGGAACCAAGGCGGGGCCAATGACAGGTATCAGGACCACTGAAGTCTGGCTCCGGCGTCACCCAGACTCACTGAGAATTCCTACCACTCACTATGTCCCCTTGGCTTAACTGCAGCACCGAGGCATCAGCAGGGCTTTCTCAATATTTACAATAGAATTTAAATATTTTTAAATTTAAATGTTCTGAATTTAAACATTCTAAATATTTTCTCAGTATTTGCAATAGCGTTTCTTCAGGATCTTTGCTCATTCAAGTCTCTGGCCAAACGTCACCATCTCAGTAAGGTTTTTACCGAAAATCACAACTTCCCAGGCAGCAACCCCTCCCCGCCCCCCTCTTTTCCTGCTTTATTTTTCTCCACAGCACTTACCACATTCAAACATGCAGTATAACCTGCATATCTATTTTGTGTTTTGTCTGTCTCCCACTACTGCAAGATAAACTTCATGTTTTGTTCATTGATAGATCCATCTGTATGTGTGTGTGTGCGTGTGTGTGTGTGTGTGTGTGTGTGTGTGTATAAAATCTTAGGGGCACTTGGTTTCTGATGTTTACCAGAAATCTGCCCTATGGAGGTATCCATAAAGTTTCTGTGTCATTATTTTATTTTATTATTATTTTTTGGCCAGTCTGTGTGGCTTCTGGGATCTTAGTTCCCCGACCAGAGATTAAACTGGAGCCCTCGGCAGTGAAAGCCCAGAGTCCTAAACACTGGACTGCCAGGGAATTCCCACTGTGTCATTATTTTAAACTGTGCTTGTTAGGCTTAGAGAAAAGACATTCAGGGACAGAAACAAAATAGATTGTGAGGCCAAACAGGTCTCTCTTTTATTTCTTATCTTGCTGTTTCCATGTCAGATGTGTTAAGTTTGTTTTTCCATCATTGCTTTTCTCCAGGGAAAAAGGAGCTGTATGAACTCCAGGCTGAAGGACCTGGCAGCCCTTGAGCCCTGCCCAGCTGCCAGGCCTCCAGAGAAGGGCAAACCCAATGCAAACCAGCTGGGAGGTTACCAGCTGAAACTTACAGCACTGCAGGCTCTCCCAGCTAATAAGCCCCACAGAAATAAGTCCTGCATAGGTGTAGGATCAAGGTGACATTCTATTTGCAGACACAGATACAAAAAACCATCTTGGTATATCATCTGAAAAACACTGGGTATCAGGGTCATCAGATGGCAAAGCTCATTGTGCAGAGCAGTGGACATCAGCTCTCCCCCCCGAGTCCCTAAATTAGGAAGGAGTTAAATAAATCCTACTGTCGATAGATTCCGGGCAGCATTTGTATGGACTGTATCTTCTGTTCTAGAGCTCAGGGGCTCCGGGTCTCAGAACAAGAGTTCAGACTCGAGCCTCTCGTTGAGAGAGGAATCATTCCACATAGCGGAGAGGGGAGGGGCACCGAGAGAAAGTGCAAACACACCACACACACACAAGAGCCGTGGGCTCAGCAGTAATTTCCCTGACACCTCATTATTCCCCAGCTCCGTTTGCGTGTGTGTGTGTGTGTGTGTGTGTGTGTGTGTACACAACCAGAGGAATGTGGTTTGGGAATAGGACCTATTGTTCCATAGTAGTGTATTCAGGATAGAGAGGAGGAAAAAACAAAACTAGCAAAGTGACAGTGTGTCCCTATTAAACAAAAAAAAAAGAAAGAAAAAAGTCAACACCCCCCAAGCCACAGGGCACTTGCAAAATGTCACAACTGGATTCCAGTAGACAGCACTAGATCTGGAATTGAAACAAACATCCCCCCTAAACCCCATGTCTACTGCTTCCTAGCATCAGAAGCATCATTTAAGCATCTGACTTCCTTTTACGATTTACAAAATTATAAACTTTCTGTTTACAAAATTGGGATAATTACAAGTACTTCACAGGGTTATTATAAGGGTCGGAAGGAATAATCGAATGAAAGGTTGGAGCACTGGGCCTGGCATGTGAGAGGTGATCAATGAATGTCTGGGGAGATGGATGTTCCTCTGCTGTCCTGTCCAGCTGTTGTAACTTCACCTGTGGTTTTCCCCCTTGGTATCATGACTATAAACACCCTGAGGGCAAGAACTAGATCTCATTCACTTTTGTATCCAGCACAAAGGTTCTTAATAAAGCTTTGTCAAAGGACTGAATCATTTTACCTGAAGAAAGGAGCAAAACCAACCAAGTCAGATTTATCTTCTGTGTATAAATCCAGCACATGTTCAAGGAATAAGACAGCCAAGAAGCTGGGAAACAAAGAAGCAGCAGAACACTTTTGGATAATCAAAACCAGACCTGTGGCCCCCAGATCACTCAGAGGGGACCAGTGGCCATACAGGGGGAGAAGGGCCAAGGCCAGTTTCTTCCGTAGGAAGCTGTGATTAAACCTTCTTGGCATCATGAAACACAGTGTCCAGGTTTTTTCATTCTCATTCTGAACATTTCAAGGAAGACATGAAAAGATGGAATCTAAAGGCCATGCTGCTGCACTGCAGACTCCACCTGCAGCAGTTTTTTAGGTCTGCACTTTTTTTTTTTTTTTTGGCCAAGCCACGGAGCTTGTGGGATCTCAGTTCCCCACCCAGGGACTGAACCCGGGCCACAGCAGTGAAAGCCCGGAATCCTAACCACTAGGCCACCAGGTAACTCCCCAAGATCTGCACATTTTTGAACTTTATTTAAATGGAATCATACTTTCATGTCTGGCTTCTTTGGCTCAACATCTTTTTTCACATACACTCATATTTTTAGAGCAGTTTTAGGTTCATCACAAAAAGGAGCACAAGGCACAGAGATTTCCCCTATGCTCCCTGCTCCCATGTATGCACGAGCTCCCCCACTATCAAAGTCCTGCAGAGTGGGGCATTTACTGCAGTCAACAAACCTACACTGATGCAACCTCAACACTCTGTGGGCGGTTCTGACTACTCCTTCAGGCTCCTTCCCAAGCTAGCTAACGGCAGGTCCTATGAGCCAGCCCCACACTGATGCTCTGCAACTGACAGGACAGGGGATTTGAGGCATTTTACATGGAATAAATTGCCCTCCCAGAAACAGGAAGACTCATTTTTCAATATTCCCACAATGAGAGAGAGGGCAGAGAAAAGTACTGTGAAAAGATCTGCCAATAATAACAATAATACAGGTTGACTTTCACTGAACTGACTGCCCACTCTCCTAGGTACCAAGGAGATGTTAAAAATATCTATTGAGTTAAACAGTGCAGGAATAAATGTCCAGTTGGGCAAGTCCAGCCATGACTATATCTGACAGTAGACATTAATTAACACAATATTTGATGATGCCTAGCACAGGGTCTGGGACCTAAGAGATGTTTTGGGGACATTTACTGGAGCATCAAAGAACATGGGCTCTGCAGTCGGACCACCACCTGGACTCCTATCCTCGTTTGGCCATGTAATGGCTGGACAACACTGGACATACTATTAACCTCCCTAAGCCTCAGTTTCCTCACCCATAAACTAGGGATTAAAATGGGTAAATCCTTATCCTCTAAGGATTCTGTGAAGAGTAAATAAAATAATGTACGTCTGGAACACAGTAAGTTGTCAGGAAATGTTATGTGCCATTGTTATTATTACTATTACTATTATTATTATTAATTAAATTGAGAGGGTGTGTGTGTGTGTGTGTGTGCGTGCGCGTGTATCAGGAGCAGGTGAAGAAAGGAGTAGGAGGGGTGGACTGTCAGTGAAAAGGGGATGAGTGTGGCAAACAGAAGTGTGCCAGGAACTGCTCTTTGAGCTCAGTTTCCCATCCTGGTCAAAGATAATCCCACAAGGCCACGGGAGGCAAGTAGAAGAAAACATTCTTCTAATGTGTGGCTCTCAGCTAGTTCCTTCATGGCCCTCTCTCCACCAGTCAGACTCTTTGGTACTTACATATTTCCAGCCCAGAGTGGTTTTGCAGTTTTCACAGTAAATGTCTGCGACGGCGTGCAGTCCTGTTAGCAACACGCGCTCTTCTGCCGGCCCGCAGCCCACGTTAACTCTGTGCCAAGGGACAGAGAGAGAGAGTGGGGCGTCAGGCACATGCTCACCATCAGTTGTTCAAGCTGGACTCCCAGCAAAAAATTAACTGAGTACAGCTGCCTGAAGGGAAGCCAACACTGAGAAGAGCATCATCTCTAACTGAAACCAGGAATAACCTCCGAAAAGGTAGCCACATGCAAACGTCTCCGTTGAGATGCATTTCAGATCTGCAAGTTCTGATTCAATGAGTCTACTAAAAGAAGTCTTTATGGTTCAGACTTTGCTCAGGATTTTTCTAACAAATGCTTTTAGCCTTGTGATTTAAAGGGACAAACTGACAACCACACTGAAGTCCACAGCCATGAGCACAGGTCCTCAGAGCTTCCTGAGGACTGATTGCAGCCAGAGATGTCAATCATGACGGCACAGTCCTGTCCTGATCACAAGGATGGGTGAGCCCCATCTATCAAATACATAGACTCCTTCACAGAGCACCTATTATTTTAGACTGAACACGCTAGATTTCCATTTTCACAGTTCATCAGGCTTGCTTTCCTAGAGAAAGCTGTAAGTAATGCTGAGGGCTGTGGCAGACTGTGCATCTGTAGGAGGGGATGGAGGCTCTTCACTAACTCCACTTTATGAAGGCTCCTCCAACCCTAGTCCACCAGCAGATCCTGGTGTCCTCTGTTCACCCTCCTTCTCTTCCCCAGAGACACATCTCAGGTCTAGTTATGAGACCTCCCATGTTGAAGCCCTCAGAAGCACTTCAGCTTCTTCCCTAGGGGACTACAGCTCTCTGTACTTACTGGGGGTAGTGACTATATTATTTTTAGCCAAAGATGATGCCCCCCCCCTGCAAAGTCCCCAAGGATGACTGGCTACAGCTTGTGGTAAATAATGCTCCATGGGTGTGTGTGTGTGTGTGTGTGTGTGTGTGTGTGTGTCAGAGAGGACAGGTTCCATTGTTTAATTATCATTGAGCGTTGCTTTTCCCCACCCCTCAAAATTTGCACCGAACAATGGATGTACCATTCAGAGACACTCACACTGAGTTAAAGAGGTATGCTCGTCCTTGACTTCCTTGGAACGACTGAAATGCAAGAAGACAAATCGATAGTTAGAGATCCGTTTCACCCACCCATTCGGGAAACCAGCCCCAAAGCACAACAGTCATGACCTTGCAGGGCTGACACGGCTAAAAGGGAGCAGTGAGCCAGTTAACCCTCCAGCTAGCAGATGGCATGGTGGGAGGAGGAGAAGGCAGAATAAACAGAGCTACAGAGCCCGGGTCAGCCCACGCTCGGACTGTTTTCACCAGTCCAGGTAAGAAAATATCATGAATCCACACTGGCCTTTCCTGGACCCACTGGATTTCAGCCACCTGTACTGCCCACAGCTCTCAAGGTCGGCTAGGGCATGGAAACCAGCACAAGCACCTCTGCTTGCCCTCTTGGTTCGACCCTGCAGAAGACAGCAAAGAATCCCCAAGGTAAGAATAAACCACCAAACCCACACTTCTCACTGGTCTTGCTTTCTTGGAGATCTTAACTGCTAGATGAGTTACCATCCCCCCAAACGGCAGCACGAAAGCTCTCCTTCTGAGGTGTAAGCAACTTCATCTCTAGATCACAGGAATGCTCATTAAACAGTAATCCCACTTTAACTTCCAGCTTAAAGAGGAGCTTCTTTCTTCTGGCTGGAGGATGGCAGGGAACAGGAGAAACAGGAGCCAGAGCTTGCCGTGCGATTTGGCATCTACTTCCATTAACACAGGCCCTATCCGTGTTTTCCTCCTCTGGTTACACTGAAACGTCTGGCTGACATGAGCCGTCCATGTACTGCATTTCTGCCTGCATTTTTAATGTGGCCTGACAACTGTACCCTGAATTAAACATCCTGGTCTGCTCTAAGACCACTCTTAAAATAAATAAACAAACAAACAAATAAAGGACTCTCCCATGACCTCTGCTATTCAGTGGCTGGAGAAATCTATGGGTGACTGGTTAACAGATGACCAAAGGGTAGGAGAGAACCAGACAGGACACAGATCACTGCCCATGAGACAGCTGTTGTCAGAAGCACAGGACTTTAGGGATCAGTGCTCCCAGCCGGAGAGAAAGGTAAAATTCTTGACTTGTGGAAAAACTGCCTTTGGGGAAGCTAGATTGTTGGTTGCCTCCAACATACAAATGTACCAGAAGCCTTGGCTCCCAGGTGCAGCTCTGAGGAGCAAGCAGATGTTCCCCAGCTGCTGCTCAGGCTGAAACCAGCCCTCTTTCCTTTGGCTCTTGAAACATCCCCGGGGAACATAAGAGCTCTAGGCTAGCACTGAGCATGAATAGGAGTGTCACAGCCTCGAAACCTGGAACCCAGAAGTCCATGCCAAGTGTTTGGATGAGACAATGTCCCAGCAACACAGACCCTATATTTGGCCAACCTGTTAGTTCAACTTTGGAGCACAAGACATCCAAGCAGCGCCAGGATAGCAAAAGCTTCACGATCTGGTCCCACCAACCTCTGCAGTCTCTTCTCTTGCTACTTTCGCACTGTGTCCTTTGCTCTAGTCAGGCCGAACCACGTGCGATTCCTGAACTCAGCTTCCTCTCTTTCGTAAGGCTTTCTCTGACCTCCCCAGGAAGAGGTACCCATTGGTACCCATGTACTGGACTCCTCTTGCTCCCTGCCTGTTCCTTTTTCTTAGCTCTTAGCGTACTGGATTTAAATTGTCTCTCTGTCTAACTCACTTACTAGATTGTGAGCTCCCTGAAGGCATGAACCATGTCTTCAATCTCTCTCTGAACCCACAACACATAGCATGAATCTGGCATCATTTATAAAATATTTATGGCATGGGTCAATTGCCTCTAATTTCCTTTTTTTTGTTCCTTAAACGGCTTTATTGGTATATATCTGACATACAATAATAAAGTGTGTATATTTAAAGTGTACTATTTGATGAGTTTTGATACCTGCATATACCTGTGAAATCATCACCACAACCAATATTATGGACTATCTGTCACACCCAAAAGTTTCCTCATGCCCCTCAATCCGGCCATCTCTTCTCTCCTCACTCTCTTTCCACTCATCCTCAGGCAGACACTGTCTACTGTCACTATAGTTTGTATTTTCCATAATTTTTAATAAATGAAATCATACAGCATGTAGTGTTTCTTGCCTGGCTTCTTTCACACAGCATAATTCTTTTAAGATTCATCTATGTTGCTGTATATATCAATAGTTCATTCTCTTTTCATTGCTGAGTCATATTCCAGTCTGTGAATTTACCAGAGTTAATTTATTTTTGGTTTGATTTTAATAAGGGATTTGGACTAGTTGACCTCCAAGTCTCCTTCCAGCTCCAAAATTATATTCTTGTATAATTCTGTGGTCCTACATTATGGATAATTGGGAGTGCCACCCTCGAGGAAACTTTTATCAAGATCTTCAAGCTAGAGCTTAGAAGAACGTGGTTATGGGAAAACAAATTCTAGAAGAAAGCAGACTGGAAAACGACAACATGAAGTAACACAGCTTCACCATTTATGGCAGGAAAAGACATTCACTTCTCAAAGACTCACAGATCACCTGCTACCTGCTGGGCACAATGGGAATGCACGGAGAGAGGCAGCACTGCAAAGCTTTTCAGGGCAGCAGTCTCCCCAGAAGGTACACCAGACAATCCTTCAGGGTAGGGGGAAAATACTAGAAATTTTATCTATTTAAGTTTATCTTTAAAAAAAAAGTTTCACTAAACAGTATTTAGCAATGCTTTCATTTTATATGATCTTTGGAGTTCAGAATTGATATGCCTGTACAAAAATTAAAACGGAGGATATTCAAAAGAAAATGCAGGAGAAAATCTTTGTGACCTTGCGTTAGAAAAGATTTCTTAGATACTACACCAGGAACACAGTTTATAAAAGAAAAAACTGCTAAATTTCATCAAAATTTTAAACTTTTGCTCTGAAAAACACTTTTAAGAGAATGAAAAGGTAAGCCATAGCCTGGGAGAAAATATCTACAAATCACTTGTCTAACAAAGGACTTGTATCTAAAATATACAAAGAACTCTCAAAATTCAATAATAAAACAAGAAACCCAATTTTAAAATGGGCAAAGATTTGAACAGACTTCCCCAAATATAAACAGATGGGAAACAGGCCCATGAAAAGATGCTCAACATCACTAGTCATTAGGGGAATGCAAATTGAAAAACATAATTGAGATATCACTATACACACATTAAAATGGTCCAAAAAATTTTTTTAAACTGACAAAACTAAGTGCACTCAAGAATGTGTAGCAACTGGAATTCAGACATTGCAAAATGGCACAGCCATTTGGATAAGAGTTTGGCAGTTTCAATTACTCAAACGAAATGAAAACCTATGTTAATACACATAACATGGATGAACCTGAAATGCTTTAGCTAAGAAGATCATTGGTTGCCAAAGGTTATAGGTAAGGGGAAAGTGTGACTACACAGGGGTAACACAGGAGTTGGAATTTTCTTATCTTGATTTCAATGGTGCATAAGTCTATGCGTTTGTCAAAACTCATTGGATTTTTTAATTTTTAATTTTACATACAGTAAAATTCACTCTTGTTGGTGAAATCCAATAAAAATTTTAAAATAAGCCATCTCTAAACTCTCCTATATCTGAACACCGTACTCCTATATTTGTACAATTAGGAATTGTAAAAAATTTCCAGATCTATTTAAAAGTATTCCAAACAAAGAGCTTCAGAGGAGTTTGAAGTCTCGTTAAAAGGTACTTTTCTAAACTACAAAGTTCAGCAAAAACCTTTGTATAACTGGTGGGTGGGTTGGAAAATGGGGATCATGATTTTTGTAAGCTCAAGGATGCAAATGTTCCATTTGAATCTACCTTTGTAAGGAAATTTTCATTACGGGCAACTGTTAAAATGAAGTATAGAAGTATACTCTCCTAGGGACACACCTCTGAATCACTGAATCACAAACTGATAAACCAAGATTTTTTTTTCCCTAAAAAGAGGGCATATTCAATCATATATACCTTCAATAAAATAAGATTAAAAGCAAATTTACAATTGTTTTATTTTTTCTTCCATCCTTTTAAATTACAGAAATAATTAAAGTTTTCTAATATTTGTTTATAATGTAGGTATTACATAGTAACCCATGTATACCATTTATAAGTAAGTAGACATATTAGGAATACATGCTCAAACACTTTACTGGTGGGGGTATGTGATTTTAAAGGTTTGGAGGTCACTGTTCTGGGGGTTCCAGTCTGTTTCAGGCAGGGCCTGAGAGTCACTTTCTCTGGCCTGACACAGATTCGAATTCCTAGAGAGTAGGGTGGGGGAGGGCACATGGCAGGGAAGAGAGTTGCCAGCCAGGCCCAGAGGCGCCTCACAAGGCCACCACGGTTCCTCCAGGCCTATTCTTCGAGAGAGAGTGCTGGCAGAGGTCCACACTCTGCAAAGGGTGCCGAACCCAATCAGGGCCGTCTCGGTGGCAATACCTACAGTGGTACCTCCCCAGCGACAGTATCTATGAGCCTGTCTCCTCAGCCTGGCACTCAGGACCAGCTGAATCTCTGGGGCAGGATTCTGGAAGCTTTTCCACCGTGGCTTCCACCCTGGGCCCCTGCCAAGCCAACATTTATGATGAGAAAAACATTCACAGAGAACAACAGGCATCTTGCAAAGAGACAGACAAGAATAGCCCGGCTGGGTCACTGTCTCCTGTGGGCCCCAGCCCAGCCTGGCACAAAGAGGCACGGTCTGGCGCTCCCTTGAGTGAGGGTGGTACCCAAGGTGGGGAGGCTGAAAGGAAGTGAAGGAAGCAATTAGAATGAAGCAAACAGAATTTCAGACCAGGAGATCCCAAACAGACTGTCGGACACATTTGTTTGCTGTCATTACTGCCAGGCAACAAGGCAGCTCTCTTCCATGTTGTATATCAATGAAGGCTGGTATTCAGGACTCCAGAAAAGGTTTTCTTGTTTTTGTTTTTTAAATTATACAAAACTTTTCTTCTGTCCTTTAAAGGAAGGTAATAGTTCCAGACCCAGCCCTTCCAGCCAGCTCAAAGGAACG